ACCTGGACTCCACCAGCCTGGGTCAAGCCCTCTCAGGGCCGACTAGTCCTGGGGAGATGGGTCAGGACGTGGCTCTTTGCCCCACTGCCGCCTGCTGCTTGCCCCCAGCACAGGTGCGCGGGGAAGGTGGCCATGGGAACGCCGCAGTTAACCAGCTCCTAACACGGGAATGAGGAATGTTCTGGTCCACCAGGTGCTACGGTAGCTGATGGGGGATGCCCTGCGGCCCCTCTCACCACTGCCAGGCGGGCGGCGTAGACTCCATGGCCAGGCTGCCAGTCCGGCTCTGCCACTCCTAAGCTCTGTGGTCCCGGGCTAGTGAGTCCCCTCCCCATGCCTTCATTGCCTCATCTGTGAGCGGGTAATGACAGTGCCTGCCCCCGGGACTGAGCATCAACTGAACGCGCTGGTGAAGACAGGGCCTGCCTTACAGCCGACCTGTCAGGGCCCTCAGCCACAGGGGCGGCCTTTCTCTCCTCCCAGGTGCCAAGCGCCATCCCGTTCCCTGCCTGGGCTGGAGCCAGTCCCTCCGCCTGGCGCACTCTTCCTCCCGGCGTTAGAGTTGCTCCAACCCCTACTTCATCACCTGGGTCTCTCTCCATCAGCCTGTTCTTCCTCCCGGCGTTAGAGTTGCTCCAACCCCTACTTCTTCACCTGATGGAGAGCATCAGCCTGTTCCAGAAGCTCCTGGACCACCCTGGATAACACAGCTTCGCCACTGCTCTCGCTGTCTCCTGTAGCATCACATCAATCAGGGCGCCTGGCAGGGCATTTCAGTCTGCGTGGGGCCACGCACTGCAGCCAGCCTGGCCAGTCCGGGCCATCTGCTTGTCTCTCCCCCTAAAAAGAAGCTCGGGACACCGAGCATGGCATGGGTGACCATATCCCTAGGACAGTGCCCACCACATGGTCGTGTAAATAATCGAAATGGTTGATATTTTTCAGAAGGGGTTTCCAAAATCCTCACATAATCCACTTTTCCCCACACAGGAATGATTTGAACTGGGGTCTAGAACAATGTTTGCCACAAAAGCGTTGACTTCTAATGGCCTGTCTGAAACAGCTGCGTTTTTGAGGCTTCCAGATCAAGCGGAGTTTCTCACACTGTGTTCCCTGACACTGTGGTCCCCGGAAAGCCGGGAAAAAGGAATTCCCCTTTTAACAAGGGTTCCCCAGGGCAGAGACAGTGGGAAACAATGCAGAATCCTCTCCCGTGAGGGGCTTCTCGCTGCACAGGGAACGCCCCAGGCAGCCCCGGGGAGGAAACCACATGGAGCCTTGTTTTCCCCCTGGACTCCATCCACTTACGTCCGCACCACAGAGCGCAATGGACAGATGCAGCGGGAACCTGAGGCCCAGGGAGCGTCATCCACTTGTTCAAGGTCACGCAGCCACTTCCTGAACCACAGAGCAGGCACCTGTCACCGTCCGGGTGCTTCCCTGGTGACCCATTCCTCTGTCAGTTCACCGGAGGTCAGAAACAGGACTCAGACCTCAGACGCCAACATCGATTTGACTAAAGCATAGATGAAAATAAACCTTCCAAATCACGTATGAAAATGAATGGTCCGAATCACGTATGAAAATGAATGTTCCAAATAGGATTTGCTTTTGCTTTCCATTGCGCCGTTCCCGAATAGTCACTTACTCATTCAACAAATAACCTGTTACGCATCCCGTGCCGGCACTGCACGTTTCACAGTGAACGAGACACGATGGTCAGTAGACTCTCACAATCACATCAGCCCTAAGAGGAGCCAAATGGATTGAATGGGCCTTGATTAACCTGCTTCAAAGTGGGGGCCGACTGCATGGAATTACATATCCACATTTCATTTGCTTTCGCCAACAGCGCTCATACTGAGCTCCAACGGCAGTGAGCTGCTCTTGGCCGGGATGGTTCTGGAATACCACGCCCCAATTCCTGTGCAGACTGCGGGGCGGGAGGGAGGGAAATGACTGGACCTCGCTGGGCATTTGGAGGAGCCCCTCAAGGCACAGGTTTTTCAAGTTCCTTCAAATGTCGCCTCTCGCTCCTACATTTTAGTTAAAGTGCAGTCCCTCATTGCTTGTTGTCTACAAATAAAAAGCCCTGTTTAAAACTGGGATTTGTTTTCCAAAGCAGGTCAGCATGTCAACACACGGTTGATCAAAAGCTGAGACAGATCTCGCTGTTATGCCATGTGATCGCCTCCCGGAACTGATAGAAACCGTCTAGGAATCAGAGAGTTGTTTTGTGTTACGTTCTTTAAAAAAAACAAAAAGATTCCAAATCAGATAGAAAAGAATCTCAGGCTTGAAATGCTGGTGGCTGGTGCCGTGGCACTGAAGTGAGCTCTCAGCACAGACTCCAGGTGTCTGTGTCTAATAAAAAAAAATTCTGAGCCCTACTGGTTTGGCTCCACGGATAGAGCGTCGGCCTGCGGACTGAAGGGTCCCAGGTTCGATTCCCATCAAGGGCATGTACCTTGGTTGGGGGAGGTGTGCAGGAGGCGGCTGAATCAATGTTTCTAACTCTCTATCCCTCTTCCCTCCTCTCTGTAAATAATCGATAAAATATATTTTAAAAAATCCTGGAGACATCAGAAGCTCTTGAAGATCCCCTGGCCCATGCCCTGGCCAGAGTGCTCGGTGGTGGAGCGTCAGCCTGCACGCCAAAGGGCCGAGGGGTCCACTCCCGGTCAGGGGCACATACCTGGTTGCAGGTTTGTTCCCCTACCCCAGCCAGGGAGTGTGCAGAGGCAACCAATCAATGTGTCACCTTCACATCAATGTTTCTCTCTCCCTCCCTCCCTCCCTCCTACACCCTCCCACTGTCTCTAAAAATCAATGGAAAAAATACCCTCAGGTGAGGAC